CCTCAGGCTCGAGAGGTTCAGCTCTACAGGGCCTTCAGCACCATCGCCATCAGTTAAAAGCAGCTGCACTAAGGTGGCGAGACAGGCAGGAGGTGGGTAGGGGTGTGGCCCGCTTAGCAGCATTTCAGTGCCAGGAGAGCCATCTGTAAATCTCACCTGGATACAGCAGAGGGATACAAAAAAAAACAAAAACAGGCAAAACCCAAGGCTAAAGTCATCCCTGGAGGGGAGCACAGTAACAGTACAGACCATGGGCATTTCCCACAGGCCCATAAATCCACTGGATTAGAGCCCTCCGTGAAATGGTCTAAACAACTTTCAAAAAATTAATTCTGAACTGCCCCCCAAGACAAGTGACCTCACGAAGGACCCCACCAGCACCGTGGGAAGCAGCACCCCAGCAGCGTTTCCTACTCAGTCCCACACACTGGCCCCCCCAAAGCCAAGTCCCCACATTTTGGGTTAAAGTCTCACAGCTCAGTTGGAAATGCGCAACTGAGCCCACACCCTTGCGAAAGACAGCGGTGGCCCTGTAACAAGGACCCCGGAAAAGCGAACGTCGGAGGCAGGCTGGAGGGCTCCGAGACACGTTTTACTGAGAATGTGAACCTTAAACAAAACTTTTCCTGTTCCAACGCCGCCTCAGTTATTTCATAACCCTGTAATTATTCATTAAGTCTAATACTGGAAACATCTCAGACTGGATGGCTCTGTGATCTGAATTCTCAGCCTTAACTGGATGGGAAAAACCTGGGAGTCTTCCGTTGTGACCTGGGGGGGCTGGTTGCAAAGTAGGTACTCACTCGACGTTTTATCTGGTTAAAAATAAACAGGCAAAACACACACCAAATTGGGGTCAGAGGGAGCCAGTATAGAAAGTATACAAATACCGGTTCTCCGGGCGTGCCAAATTTTTGCTCTAGAAGTAATATTAAACACAGCTCTTTGTCTGCGAGTTGTGAAATACTTTACATACTAATAAAGAATGTGGGCCTCATTGTGTGTTTAACTGCACAAGCCTGCATTTGGCTTAATTGACCAAGAATAAGTCCTTGTTTCTAAGCTAACTATCGGGTTACAGTCAACTCTTAAATATTAACACTCGTGCTGAGGCACAGAGACGCAGATAATACAAAACAGAAGATTATTTTAACTCATCCACTCTTGGTATGCGGATATATTCTTTTTTCTTTCCTTTTAACTTGCAATTAAATGCGTCTGGCTGATACTACGGCATCTGCGATACTCTCAGGAAGGCCGTCAACCACACTGGAAGAATCTGACTTCGGGGGACTCCGCGTGGGCCCCTCACCCAACCTCTCTGCTGCTGAGCTTTTACCAGCTCCCCTTGGTCCAGGACAGCATCGCCTCAGAAGGCTGCCCAAAAAGTGGTTTAAAAAAAAAAAAACACCAAAAAACATGCAAACTACTTTCCTCCCAGGTTGCTGCTTTTCAGAATCACACTTTGCGGAGGGTGGGAAAGTAATTAAGGGTTTGGGGTTGGAAAAGCCCTTTTATTTTAGCTCCTACTGGGCTGGTGTAAACAAAGATGCCATTAATGTCAACAGCGACTTAATTAACCGGAGTAGGTGACAAAGTCAGGGAGAACTTGAAAGTAAGAGTCGCCTCCTCCCCGGGGTCATCAAGCTTGGCTGTACTTTAAATAATTAGAATATTAATCCACCAAACAGTGCTTGGCATTGAGGACCACCATCCTCTGTTGCCTCTATAACTGAGTTTATACCCAACAGCTGGTCCCCAACGGTGAACAACCAATTGACAAAACCCACTTTTAATCCGGAATATTAACAATTAAAATCTCCTAGAGACTCTTTTCTTAAGTTAGTTGAGTAGGCCCAACCCTGCTGTTACCACTTCAGAGAGTGTCCAGAGACAGACGGCACGATATGATGTTATGACCGATGGCACGATATGATGATAGATGACATCATGTGATACGATGGTGATAGATGACGTGATATGATATTGTACGAAGGAAGCCGAGACAACTAGAGCAGGATCCTCTAGGGTTAGGGCTCAGGCTCCATCCTGGAACGTAGTCACATTTGTCTGTGGACACAGCTTCCTATGGTCCAGCCCAACAGAATTATCTACACTGAGCTTCCAAATTAGCAAACCACGGTGTCTTCCAAGATAAGGCCTTGAGCAATAGGAGGTCAAGGTTGAACTTATTGTTAACCACAGCCAGTTACAGTACCGAGGAGGACAGACAGGCACCGACGGACATGCACAAGGACGGAGTCAGTGTCCGTCCGTCCCCCCCCCCCGCCCCCCAGCACGACCACGGCC